ATGATCCTTGTTATTTCCTTCCTTCCTTCCTTCCTTCCTTCTTTCCTTTTTTTCTCTTCTTCCTCTCTCCCCTCGCTCTCTCTTTCACTTGGTAGTGGGGCTTGAATAGGGCTTCATGTTCTTGCTTCTCTTTTTTGCTTAAGCCTAAATCTCTACCACTTGAATCACACTTATACTTCTATTCCTTATTATTTGAATTTTCTAATATTTTCTTAAGTGTTCAGTAACTTGTAGGCCTCAGAAAGCAAACTCTTTCTCAATCTCTCCCTACCCTTTCTCATTCTTCTTCCACTGCTCATTTTTTCTCAAAGCAGACAACAGAATTAGATATCCTTCCCCTCACAAAAATTCTTTTGTGAGCTGAGCACTAGTGGCTCACACTTGTAATCTTAACTATTCAGGAGGCTATGTGAGGATTGAGGCTTGAAGCCAGCGCAGACAGAAAAGCCCCCATGAGGTTCTTTAATCATTCAAAAACCAGAAGTAGGACTGTGGCTCAGAGTGGTAGAGCATTAGCCTTGAGCAAAAGAGCTCAGTCAGGGACAGTGCCCAGGCCCTGTGTATGTGTGCTAAACATACATGTGCTTAAAAATATTATCTTTGAATAGTTGTACAATAGTTGTAACAAAGCAATTTATAAAATGAAGTGCATCTTGATCTGTCACCTCCTTCAACATTCTCACCCCCCTTCAGCTACCCTTCACTTTTCTTAATTTCTTAATGTAGTATATACAATAAATTCTTTTTTTTTTGGGTCCGGTCGTGGGCCTGAACTCTGGGCCTGGGAGCTGTCCCTCAGCTCTTCAGCTCAAGGCTAGCACTCTACCACTTGAGCCACGGTGCCACTTCCAGCTTTTTTTTCCTTGCTTATGTGGTGCTGAAGAATGGAACCCAGGGCCTCATGCATGCAAGGCAAGCGCTCTACCACTGAGCCATCTTCCCAGCTGTACAATAAATTCTTGACTGCGTTCTCCCTACCTTCCCTCTCCCCTTGGCCCTACCTCCCTCTTGCATAAACCCATTTCCTGGCACTGATTTTGTTGGGTTTTGACCTATTCTTTCTAAAAATTATACCATTTGAGGTCTCCATAGTCTATTATACTTCAGATAGTTCATTTATCTTCTCATACTTTCTGGTCTCAGGGCTGGACATAAACCAACTCTCTGACCTATGTTGCCTGATAGTAGGTCATCAATTAGAAAGATCTTGCATGAGAGAGCTGTTAGAAAAGACTGCTGAAGGATCTGGACAGTCCTTGCTAGATTTCTTCATTTAGTCTATTAGGAATCATGCCTATGCAATGAATTTACTAAAAGAATCCAGAGAGACATGGTTTGGAGAGCTCCAGGGAGATTCCTGAAGGGTGGTATGTCTTGAGAGAGCAAGCAGGCTCTATACATTCCTGCCCCGTATGTCCTGCTTATGTCATCCATGTTATCATCTGCATTCTTCATAATAAACCAGTTAAGTGTGTTTTCATTCTGTGAGCCAATAGGGCAAATTAACTGACCTTAAGGAGGGCTGTGGGAACCTTGATTAATATATAGCCTATTGGTCAGGAATACAGATATAAAAACCACTTGAGACTTGTTTATGTGGAGAGGGGAGATTGTTAGGTCTTGGGACCTAAGCCCTCAATCTGTGGGGTTTTCTGTTATCTCCAGACAGTGTCAGAACCTAGTTGAATCAGAGGATACCAGCTGACAGCAGAGGCAGGATTGCTTGCTTGCTCCTGGAAAAAAAAAAAATCACCTCCCATTATGAGATCATAGAAGTCTCCTGTGTTGATTGTTGTGATATTGAGGTAAGAGTAAAAACAAAACAATAGTGTTTTCACCCTAATCACATGCACATAGTCTCTCTCTTAGTCTCATTATTGGTGTAAATGCCTTGGGGGGCATTTCTGGCTTCTGCTACAAATGAAATGTGGTTGACTGAAATGTGGCTGTCCAGCTAGAGCTGCAACCTCAAGATAATAGGGCTAAGTAAGCTTTTGGCATTCTTCTAGGCAGTATCTAAGAAAGTCATTTCTGCATAAAATGTTTTTGGGCATGAGTATCACCTTCGCCTCCCAGTCAAGCAAGTCTCCTTCAGGGGATAGTTCTCAAAACAATGAACAACTGTCAATCTTTTTAAATTATACTTTAAAGCCAGACAGGCAGACAGTGACATATAGCTACAATCCTTAGGATTCCGAAAGAGATTCAGGAGGATCAAAGCTGAAGGCTGGCCCTGGCAAAAGTTAATGAGACTCCATCTCAACAAACAAGCTGTAAACATAGCTGCATGGGTGGCATAACGTATAAGGCCAGGCTGGGCAACAACTAAACCCTATCTGAAAAGTTAAATTGGGCTGGGGGCATGGCTCAAGTGGTAGAGTGCATGCCTAGCAAATGTGAAACCCTAAGTTCAAACTCAAGTACCACCTAAACAAAACTGAAAAATAACTGAAAGTCAAAGGGGCTGTATGGATGGTTCATGTGGTAGAACTCCTGAATAGCAAGGGAAAGGCTTAAATTTCAGTACAGAAACAAATTTACGTTTTAAATATCCTTTCCACTCTCTAGTCATTGATTTTGACTCACTCTTTAATGAACTAAAAAGCAGTGAAATAACCATATAGGAATGTGTATGAGTGACCTAATTCTTAAATTCTGATGTCTAAGAATATCTTTTTTATGACTTTATTGGAGCTTGAATTCAAGGCCTCAAATTCTCACTTGCCTTTTTTGCTCAAGGCTGAAGCTCTACCACCTGAGCTATACCTTCACTTTCAGTTTTTTTTTTACTGGCTAATTGAATATAAGAATCTCATGGACTTTTCTGCTCCTGTTGGCTTCTAATTATGATCCTTATTTTTTCAGTTTCCCCGGTAGCTAGGATTACAGGCATGAGACATCAGCACTGGGCTAAAAGTGACTTCCTATCAAACTGACATTTCATGAATACATAATTCATAGATCAATCACACACATGTCCTTGTTCAGATGCAGCATTATTATCTTCAGAGTTTTAGTGTGATATGACAGCTAAAAGTAATATAAATGTTGCTCCTTTGTAGCTCACTTGCTTTCCTTGCTTGCATGCTTAGAATATTATCACAAGTGTAATTCAGCACAGGTCAAATCAAAAGGGTATGTATTTAGAATCATCTCAGTATCATCAGATGCTTCTAGGAGAGAACCTCATACATGAGAACTTGTCTAATCCACAAATTCCTTACATTTTGGTGTCTGAAAATGCATCACATAAGGTGTTATGGAAGCATAGGAATGGTTGCTCCATTTCTCTCTAAGATAGAGATAACTTTGGGGAGTAGAGAAAATGATCAGATGCTACACACTGAAAAAAATACTAAAATAGTTTTTGTGGAGACACAGTCTTGTCATCTAGCATTCAAGAAGCTGAGGGGAGGAGAATCATGAGTTCAGGATAAGCTTGTGAGACCCTGTCTCAGAAAACAAAAAAAACCTTTAAAAATGTTTGACTCCTCATTTCAAAAGAAACTTCAGCACAACAGCTTTCAGTAAAAGCAGGTATGTTCTGTATTGCTATCACAAAATGATAAGCCTATTTTAGTAGCAACTCTGAATGTATGAGTTTGCTTTGGTTCAGTAATAAATGACATAGAGGTAGTTCCCAACTAAGTAGTGACCAGTGAAACAAATACAAACAAAGACAAATTAACTGAAGATAGGTTAGAGAGAAGAAAGAGAGAAACAAAGCAGGAGAAAGTAAAATAAAAAGTTATAAATATTTCAAAACCATGACTACAGAAACTCCTATGGTAAGGTAGAATAAAAATTTTACCATTACTAAAACCTTGAAGCAACCAAGTTTTGGTAAGAGAGTACATAAATAAAGTATGGAACATCAGACATGAAGAAGAGATGGGTTAATGTACCATGAAAATCAGAGAGGACACTTAAATGCATTAAGAGAAAAGGCCACTTACTATCTGATTCTAACCATAGGACAATCAGGAAGAGAAAACTAAGGACACAAAGAGTGAATCCTGATGTAAACTATGGCCTGTCATGATAATATTTCAATGCAAGTTCATCAGTTATCATAAATATACCATTAATCTGGTTGGGATACTGATTTGAGAGTCAGAGTACTCTCTAAATTTAGAACTCTTTAGATTTTCTGTTCAGTAGAACTTCTTTCAAAAAATTAAGAAGATGTAATCCTTGCTGTAATTCTAGCTACTTAGGAGATGGAGATCAGGAAGATCAAGGTTCAAGGCCAGGCCAGGCTCAGAAAAAAATTGAGGGATCACATATCCACAAATAAAAATCAAAAAGTGTGTGCTTGTTATCTCAATGATAAAGGAAGTAGAAAGAGGTGAATCATGGTCCTGGTAGGCTCTGGCACAAATGTGAAACCCTTATCTATAAAATAACTAAAAGGCAAAAAGGGCTAGAGGCATGATTCAGATGGTAGAGTGTCTGCCTAGCAAGCACAAGTCTCTGGGTTCAAATTCCAAAATAAACAAGAAAATAAGAACTTGCTGATAAAGGGCTTCAACTGTATTATTTACAATTTCTCCAAAATTCAAAAACATCCTTAATATTTAACTGCTTGTTTTTCTCTTGAAAGCAAAATAAATTAAAATAGTATGAGATAACAAAAGTTGTTTCATTAAAGTAATTCATTAAATTAAACTCTACACAAAATTATAGAGACTTTTTATAAAGAAAGCATTTTCAACCAAAATGTAAAGAATTATCAGATAGGAAGAGCTCAAATATTATTAAAAATATAATAATACCACATGGACACTTATCACAAATCATTAGTTTGAGCATTTCACAAGCAGAGACAACAGCACAATAAAATAATACTGACTTTTGGTTCTGGAATGCTTAACTTGATCACTTGTTAATTATACCTGGGGCAAATTACTTAATCTCAAGTCTGTTTTCTAACCTATCAAACTTCTTGACAGTTATGGGAAGGCAGAATGACAAAAATAAATGACAATACTGATACGCAAAAAAAGTTAGAAACTGAATCAAATTTAATGTCTTTTATCGTCAAAAGTTACATAACTTCCCGTCAATTTTTATTCTTAATGCAAAATAAATGATCACATGATTTCTAAACATTCTATTTACAGCTAAATATTGCTTCAGTCATCACTGTCACTTCCTGATTCACTCAGCTGCAAATCATTTCCTAAAATAAAAAATAACAAAACTGTAGCAATTAAATGTGTAAAACAGTAAAATATTCATTTTGTACAACATAAATATAAGGTAAAACCTAACACCAAAGTGATTCTGCCTAGCTAGCATTTTGTAATAATCAGATGCTTATCTTATTACTAAGTAACATAATTAGTAATTCAAATAATAATCCAGAAAGAAAACAATATACCATCAAACTTCAGCATAGTTTCAATATCCTCTGTCATCTATTTTAGGGTTCTTTCACATACCAGTATCAATCTTGTTTTTATACCTCTGATTCATTACAGCAAGAAATGAGAGAAGATGCAGTTTAGATCAAACTATCATTCTAAAGGGTGAAAAAAACTTTTTATTTAAAACACAATAAAAAACATTAAGGAATACATGACAAGAATTACCATGGATTATTTCTGTACTGATTACATTGGTAATTCAGCTGTGTACTTAGTCATAGAACTGACATTTCAATGTAAAGACAATAAAAATATATATAACATAATGCAAAGTAGACATAAATACTATAAAAATAAAAATAGCCAAGTAGACAGTGGTGGAAAGGACTGTTTTAGTTAGGGTAACTAGTAAAGCTCTCAAAGGATGATAGCTGAACAGAAATCCAAGTGTAGAAAGTCATAAAAAATGAGAGTGGGACACGGAGTCTAATCTAAAAGAATAGCAAGTGCAAAAGTACCAAGGCTGGCTGGGATATATGACCTGCAAGAAGGCCAAATGGAATCAACAGATGAAGAACACAATGTTAGGAAATTAGGTCAGAAAGGTAATAGTAAAAAGTCTGAATTTTGGGCTGGGAAGGTGGCTCAGTGGTAGAGTGCTTGCCTTGCATGCATGAGGCCCTGGGTTCAATTCCCCAGCACCACATAAGCAAAAAGAAAAAAGCCGGAAGTGGCGCTGAAGCTCAAGTGGTAGAGCGCTAGCCTTGAACTGAAGAGCTGAGGGACAGCGCCCAGGCCCAGAGTTGAGGCCCCACGACTGGACCAAAAAAAAAAAGTCTGAATTTTGTTTGAAATATAATGAAAATTCATGGATTTTTTTTTTTTTTGGTCAGTTGTGGGCTTCAACTCTGGGCCTGGGCACTGTCCCTGAGTTTTTCAACTCAAGGCTAGCACTCTACCATTTGAGCTGTGGCACCACTTCTGGTGTTCTGGTGGTTAATTGGAGAGTCTCATGAACTTTCTTTCCCAGGCTGGCTTTGAATCGCGATCCTCATCTGAGATCCAAGGATCCAGGATTTCAGGCATGAGCTACTGATGCCCAGCTCATGGAATATTTTTAAGCAGACAATTAACTTGAATTGTATATCGGTGAAAGCACTATAATGGTATGGACATAACATGGAAGCAGGAAGAAGAGTTGAATCTGTTATAGTTTTGACAGATTTGATTCTAGTTAGCCAGCAGAGGCTACCATTTCATCCTTGATGTTCTATAGTTAAGCTATGGTATGCTGAGGTCTAGCTTTATTCTTATTTATCCAAACTTTTAGCTGGAATAAAGCAATGTTTTTCTTCAATCTGGAAAATTCTTATGGTTGAGTTTTTATATTATCCTGCCTATGCCAGAATTCCTATCACATAATGTGCCATCTTCTGTACCTACCTCACCTATTGTTGATCTGTTTCCATATAATTCTTTATCTTCATCTTGTATTGTGCTTTGATATTGTTCCTTAGTATTATTTTCCATTTCACTAATTCATTCTTTTTTTCCCCTCTCATCACAGTTTATTTCTATTAGGACATAAATGGCAACTTAAAGCTATCAAGGGATGGGATAGTAGGGGAAAAACAAAGTAGGGGATAACAATGCTTGGTAGGAAATGCACTCACCACCCCACTCATATAACTAGAACCCCTCTGTACAGTATCCTTATATAAATTTTTAAAAGCTATTTTCTTTAAATAGTAATGGTTGTATATCTATTTTCCCTTTACAATGTAAGATCTGTGAGATTACTGTGATCTTAGCATAGTCTCTGTCTCTTATAGATGAGTATAGCTATACATGCATATATATACTAATTCATTCTTAAAATATTTTTATTCCTACTTGGGTATTCAATATGTTGTAGAGCTCAGTAGTTCTTGAGAAGTTTCCTTTCACTCATTCCCATTCAGTACAACAAAGTTGAGCTGTCAAGACTCTATGCTAAAAAAAAAAAAAAATCTACACTGAGGGGCTGGGAAGGTGGCTCAGTGGTAGAGCACTTGCCTTGCATGCATGAGGCCCTGGGTTCGATTCCTCAGCACCACATAAGCAAAAAGAAAAAAGCCGGAAGTGGCACTGTGGCTCAAGTGGTAGAGCGCTAGCCTTGAGCTAACGAGCTGAGGGACAGCGCCCAGGCCCAGAGTTCAGGCCCATGACTGGAGCTCCCCCCTAAAAAAAAATCTACACTGAAAAGTTTAGAGCAGGAAAGGTGACAAATTATATTTGACTTGTGAAAAGATGTTTGTTCAATGTACATAGTGGATCAAAAATGGCCTTGAGTAGATAAGAAGTAAAACAGAAAATTACTACAAGCTGAACTGGGGTAATGTAGTGAAGATGAAGAGAAGTGGATGAATATGAAAAATTCAAGAAGTAAAACCAAGAGGACTTGGTGAAGGATTTGCTGCACTGGAAAGAAAGAGAAGTCATTCAACTTTAGAATGCAATCAGGCTTCTGGTTGGTATAATTTGATGACTGTTGTCTTTCAATAAGACAAAACATGGTTAGCCAAAGATTAGGAGTTTGTTTTAAACAAAGTGAATTTGAAGTGCCCTTTACTAGCAGATGTGTAAGGCATATGTATCTAGACCTCCAAGGTCTGCATCAGTGCTGTAAATTGGTAAGCGATCTCTCTCTCTCTATAAGCATTGATTATAAGCAAAACATGAAGATTATTGAGAGAAAAAGGATGAAATAAGAAAAAAAAGTAGCAACCCTTAAGCAACTTGAGATTTTAAATCTACAAAGGAGGGAGAGGGGAAATATCCAGAGAGATGAGAGAAAAAAAATCACAGGAAGGCATTATATGTTATAGAGTCAAAAGAAATTGAATAATTCAATAAAAATATAATGGTTAATACTGTTAAATAAATAAAATAGAAATCTTTTTCTTTACCCAAATTTTAGATCATAACCAACAGGGCTCCACTGTGAATTCGAACTTTTCTATTAGTACATGTTTATATATACTTACGCAAAGTATTCATCAGAAGGCCATTGTTGTCATAAAATGTATTATGACTAGCATCTATATCAGAAGTCCTGTATTGAGGTATGGTAGACATGGTAGGATGCTCTGAGATATAATTCCCTGCATTAGAAGAAGATCTGTCCTCTTCGTCTTCAGAATCACTAGAACTATCTTCACTACTTGAAGATGTGGAACTTTTGGAATCTGATGAACTATCACAACTACTCATCTGGTCCATTACACTAGCTTCTGCTTTAAGTTCTGAAAACAAAACAGAAATGTATGGTAGATTAAATAAATAGTATCAAATATATATATATATATATATTTAAATGGGGATATTCTATTTCTAAGAAACTACCAAAGAATACATATGATCAAACACACATTTAGTCTAGGCTATACAGTAAGACTCTGTTTCAAAAAAACCAAAAAACAAGCTGTCAGGTGCCTGTGGCTCACACCTGTAATCCTAACTAATCAAGAGACCTTGATCTGAGGATCACAGTTCAAAGCCAGCCCTGGAAGGAAAGACAGTTGGACTCTTATCTCCAATTAATCACAGAAAAATCTGGAAGTGGTGCAGCGGCTCGACTGGTAGAGTGCTAGCCTTGAGCAAAAGGAGCTCAGGGACAACAAATGCCCAGGCCCAGAGTTCAAGGCCCGGAAACAGCAAAACCAAAACAAAACAAACAAAAATATATAAGCAATGTTTACATCTAAATTGTACATTTGTCTATGCAACTGTACTTAAATATACATGTATCTTCAGCAATGCACAATAAATAATATGAAAAACTAAAAACCAATTTTGGTAGAAATTGTCTTCTTATTCTTATTCCCATAATACATACATATGAATATGTACATACATGTGAATTTCATTCTTTTCCTAGAAAATATTTTGATGAAAATATTTGATGAAGGTTTCTGCCCTGTTTCCTTAGTGGGGAAATACTTTCTAGTTTTTTAAAAACCAGATTCTATTATAATGTTGGTTGTAAATATTTCTGTAGATAAAAAGAATAATAATGATTATGTCTTATTTGGCTTAGGGCCTTTTCAAGTTCTTTTTAAGACACAAAGCATTATGGGCAAAAAGACCTTCAGTTAATGTAGATAAGCCTTAATAATTTTTTCCATTTAGTGAACTGAAGTACAGAAAGATTAAAACCTATCATCTACTAAGGGATAAAGCTACCTTGTGACTTTCCAGTCAGTATTTTTTCTAGTATATGATACAAATGTCAAGCAACTGAACAAAAATTTTAATCCAAAACACGATATTCTCAGCTGCTACATTACTACCTAATACCATTTTTGTATGTTTCCTGTCTTGTGATTGTTTCTAGCCTGCTTCTGCATTCTCCCAGAAATGAGACATACCAGCTTTTTTTCTATTTGATTATATCAATTACATTTTCTTCCTAAGTTTTTTGCACTAAATATTTGCTTTGCTTCATCCCAGGACTTTCTTTGCTGCTGGTGTTGCTTAACACATAAATATATATATATATATATATATATATATATATATATATATATATATAAATACATAATTATATATGTATATATCAGATATATATCAGAGTTACATGAATCTTAGCATACACATACTTATTCACCTGACACTGAGATCCATTCACATGAATGCTCATTCTGTGCTTTTCTCCCATCAGTACATACCATGTGACTTTTATTACCAAAGGTTTCTGTCTTGAACTGCATGTACATGGATTCACTCAGCATGTACTTTTGTGTGTCTACTTTCTTTCATCAACAAATTTTGGTAAACAGTCTTTTTTTCCCCCCAGTCGTGGGTCTTGAACTCAGCCTGGGTGCTGTCCTTGAGCCTCTTTGTACTCGAGGCTAGCACTCCATCACTTGAGCCACAGTACAACTTTCAGCTTTTTCTGAGTAGTTTATTGGAGATAGGAATCTTATGGACTTTTCTGCCCGGGGTTGGTTTCAAACAGTGATCTCTCAGTTCTCAACCTGCTAAGTAGCTGGGATTGGAGGCATGAGCCACAAGGCCCAGCTAAGCAGTCATTTTTGAACCAATCTGGAGCTCCTTCTTTTCTTTGATTCTCCATTATATAAATATAAGTTGGTTATCCATTTTCTACTCATGGATATTTGTTTTTTTTCACTGTTAGCTATTATAAAGTTATTAACAAAATTCTTCTATATGTTTCTCCATGAATATATACATCATTTCTTTTGAGCAAAAAGTTAGTTAGCTAAATCCCTGAGTTATAAGGAACTTACAATTTCCAAAATTCTACTAGAGCCAAGTACCAGTGGCTCATGCCTGTTATCCTAGCTACTCAGGAGGCTGAGATCTGAGATTCAAGGTTCAAAGCAGCCTGAGCAGATAAGTCTGTGAAACTCTTTCTCCAATAAACCATCAGAAAACTGGAAGTGACTGTAGAACACTAGCTTTGAGGTGAAGAGCTGAGGGACAGCGCACAAGCCCAGAGTTCAGGCCCCACGACCGGACCAAAAAAATAAAAATAAAAGAGTCACAGATCCTTCATAACATACTTGGTATAGAAAACTATTTAAATTTTGCCTTTACTAATGGTTGCACAACATCTATAGTTTTCAGTTTTGTTTCTCTGATAAGTGATGGTATAAAATGATTTTTTACATACTTATGGCCACTTGAATATTTCCATTTGTAAAATGTTTCTTCAAATATTTTTTTCTAATTTATTTGTCTTTTTCTCAGTCATTTTTAAGCATTATTTATAGCTAGTTCTTCTGGCTATCAGTCCTTTGTCAGACATATGCACTGTGAAAACTTTCTTAAAGTTTATTCAAGTCTTTAGAGCTAGGCTTTTTCTTATTTTATTAATGGAATCTTCTATTGAAATTCTAAATCTTTGATAAGACAGCTCTTTTTCAGATTAGTTTAAATGTGACCCCCTCAAAGGACTCCTTCCCGCTCCCCCCAACCTTTATTGCCTGCTCTATTTTCATTGAAACACTTACTTCATTTGGATATATATTCTGTTTTTTACTATGTGTCTCTCATCTTCATCTACAATTCCAACTGTAAACAATGTAAGAAGAAATTTTATCCTGGTCATGTTGTGTAATGCTTTTTGTATAATGTTGAACTTGTTACTCTTTCCTTGAGAATTTGAGTTTAAGATTATGAGGGACTCTGGACTCTAGTTTTATTTTTCTTGTACTTTCCTTATCTAGTTTGTGTGTTCAGGTATTATTAGCCTCATAAATGAGGCATTAGTCAGCCTTTTGCTTCTGTAATAAATACCCGAGGTAATCATCTTATGAAATGAAAGGGTTTATTTTGGCTCATAGTTTGGCTCATATTCTATTAGCCATCAATTTTAGACTTCTGGTAGGATAACAGATGGAAATGGCAGGAAGTCCATGGTTGAACAAGCTGTTTGTCTCATGGTCTAGTAACTGAAGAGAGGAAGGGGAAGTGGCTGGGAACCTAACATCCTCTTTCAAGGGAAAATCCCCAATGACAGAAAGACCCCACTTTAAAGATTTCACCTCTTCCCTTCAGTGCCATAGGCAGGGCACCATTTATTTATTTTTTTAACACTCAAGCCTTTGGAAGATACATCAACCTTAGCACCTGTTTTGCTATTTTCTACAAGAGATTTGTGTAGAATTGGTAATAATACTCAATAGACTTTGCTAATAAACCCATGTAAGCCTGGCTCTTTTTTGGATGCTTTTAAATTGCTAATTTGACTTCATTATGTTTACAGGTTTCAGATTGCCTAATTCATCTTGCTTGAGTTTGGGAAGATTTTTAGCTTTTGAGAAATTGATTTATTTCTTCTAAATTGTCAAATTCATGAAAATTAAATTATAAGCCTTAAAATTTATAATTCTTTTAATGGTTATTGAGACTGTAGTGAACTCATTACTCTCCTGATTACTGGAGAGTATATTATTTTCTTGATATTAGTGATTTTATCTTCTGTCATTTTATTTGTCTTTTACTAGTAGTTTATCAACATTATTGTTGTGTGTGTGTGGGGTGTGTGTGTGTGTGTGTGTGCCAGTCCTAGAGCTTGAGCTCAGGGCCTGCGCACTGTCCCTTAGATGCTTTGTTCAAGCCTAGTGCTCTACCACTTGAACCACAGCACAACTTTCGGCATTTTGGTGTTTAATTGGAGATTAGTCGCACAGACTTTCCTGTCCAGGCTGGCTTTAAAACTGATCCTCAAATACCAGCCTCCTGAATAGCTAGGATTACAGGCATGAATCACCATGTTCAGCCCAAGAAGATCTACTTTTTCTCTTCTCGGCAACTCCAATACCACTACTGTCACACAAAACTTAGAAAACCATAATCTATTATATTTACTCTTTCAGTTGTCCTTTCTCCTTTCCTGAGGCTACCATATTTCTTCTTTTATTATTTATTTCCTGTTTGAATAACACATTCTGTGGCCAACATTTAAGGGTAGTTACCTAGCAGCAAATTCTTCTAGTTTGTTTCTTCTGGGGAAGGCTATTTCCCTCTTATTACTAAAGAATCCTTTGGGCAGATATAGAACTCATGGCTGACGTTTCTTTTAGCCTTTGAAAATGCCATACCACCTCCCTCTTATCCCCTAGATTACAGTTGAGATGTATGTGTGTGTGAGGTGTGCGTAAGTATGTGCATGTATGTGTATGTGCACTGGTACTAGGGCTTCACCTTAGAGCCTCATGTTCTCACAACTTTTTCATTCACAGTTCACACTGTACCACTTGTACTATGCCTCCAGTTCTACCTATTTTCTAGTCTAGTGGAATTATTTGTCCAGGCTGAGTTCAAACCTCAATCCTCAGATCTCAGCCTCCTGAACTCAGAGCCTCATGTTTATTAGGCTGATTCTCTACCATTTGAGTCACACGCCCATCCTAAGCCACAAGTGTTGTTTTTTTTTTTTTTAATTAGTATATATGTATTCTATTCTTCCATCTGAGGCACCTAGCCTCAGTTGAGCAATTTGATGTTATTTGTAAGGTATTTGTCTACAGGTAATATGTTATTTCTCTCTTGCTTTCAGAATTTTTGCCTTTTTTGCCTTTAGTTTTCAGAAGCTTGATTGTGATATATTTTGGCAGTTGTTTATGTGGGTATATCATATTTCACATTTGTTAGGCTTTTTGAATCTACAGGTTATACCTTTCATTAAATACAGGATGTTTCAGAGCCTTGTTTTAATATTCTTTTTGCCCTACTCTCTCTTCTTTGCGGTTGACTGCTACCAATGTTAAATCTTTCGCCATTCTTCCACAGACCCTTGGGGCTCTGTTCATTTTGTTTCAATCCATTTTCTATTTAGATTGAAGGAATTAAATAAATCCTGAAGTTCACTGATTCTATTTATTTGTAGTAATTGAACCCATCCAGTGAGGTTTTTTGGGTTTGTTACTTCTAAAATTTCCACTGGTTTTTGTTTTTAACTTCTATTTGTCTAATGTGCTTTCTATTTTTTAGTTGTTTCAAGAGAACTTGTAATTAAGTTGTTTTTGAAAGCTGTTTTAAACTTATCAGATAATTCTAACATCAGCTAACATCTGACTCGTTCAAGTTGAGTTTAGTATAAGTTCACTTTTTTCTTATTCAAAATTTGATTTTTCCTAATTTATGACTATTATAAGTAGTTTCCTACTATAGCTTAGATTTTTTTTTCTAATGAAGATCTATTTAAAACTTTTACTTAGCAAGCAGTTTGTTTAGTCTTAGCATGCAGATTCTTGTGTCCTTTGGACTGTGGTTCTAATGACAATCTAATTTTCAGTGCTTTTGCCATCCTGCTTTGAATTTCTTAATAATTCTCCAGCAGCTAGAGTTCCCAATAGTATCTGCTGCTCATCTGAAGGAAAGAAGGAAGGTTAACAGGCAGGGAAAGGGGTGGGAAATCTCTGGCCTAATTTGAATAAAAAATACTTTATGACCAGGTTAAAACCTGTTTATATCTTCTACTAACTATATCTTCTCAGTTCCCTGTTCATTTGCAGGCATCATTAGACATCTACAGTCTATCCATACATAAAGAATTTTGAGGAACTGGAAGGATGGCTCAAGTGGTAGAGTGCCAGCTTTGACTGAAAAAGTCAAGTGAGAGTGTAAGGCCTTCAGTTTAACTCTGTATCAGCACTAAAACAAAATAAAAGCAAACATACAAAAACAATTTTGATAGGAAGATGCTGGATAAAGTTGAATATGAATAATCACAGTTGACAAAAAAGAAAACTATTGTTATATACATCTAAACAGCCACTTTTTTTTACACTGGATAATAAAAATATTGAAATCTTTTGTATGATATAGACTTATTTATGTAAGATCCTAAATCATAAGCTATACCCTTGCCCCAGAAAAGTATATAATTGCACAAAAAATTATACTCATTAAAAGTTTATGGTCAGTTCCACTGTTAATTAAAATAAAAAAATTTTACTTAATATATTTCATAGCCATCTCTTATAAAAAGGGTATTATGCACTTAGATTTTACCTCTTTCAATGTCATCCATTAGAGATGGTGAGGACATCTTGTCCTCAGAGGGAGAATGCTTTACAAAATTTGGAGTTCGAGTTGAATTCCACATTTGCTGCTGCTGCTGCTCTATACGATACTGAATTTTACTGCTTCCTTCACCTCTGCAATTAAGAACACCAAAGATCAAAACAGGTACACCAATGTAATAATGTCAAAGCTACCAAACCTGACCACTTATTCTTCTGCTTAGAAATATTTTCAATGATATTCAAGAATTAAAATGTTAATTTAATTAAATTTAAAAAATAGTTATCACTGCCTTCTAGATGTATGCCATATACATGGAACCACAGAGGAATATAAATGTGAATCAAAACTAAGCTACTGCTCAAACTGAGCACATAACCCATTCACAAATGACTAAAGAGAAAAAGGAAAGTGCATATGGGATACAGCATAGTCTCAATTTCTAAATTCATCATTTCTATTAAAACAAAAACATTTCCACATTTTACATTCATAATTTCAAGGCAGAAATGATAATAAAGGAGATTCATATACTTGTATTTTAGCATCTTGAATACAAATGTATGCCAATAAAATTATGCTTGGCTTCTATCACTCCCAATCTCAGCACCAAATCCTTTTCAGTACTTTCTTTTTGACATAGTATCTTACTTTTCTCCTTATTTTTTTCCTCAAAATTCCTAGCTTCCACATTTCCCCATTTCCCAAACTGTTTCACTATACTTGGTTTCTCTGCAGGATTAATGTTTCAAAAGAAAGATGTAAACATGCCAATCCCTGGTTAAAAAGATTTTTAATATGTAACCACTGCTAGCAAGGAAATGTCCTAATTTCTTAGTTAATACTTACGGCATTAACCTTAAACTACCTTTGCAACTTTACCTCGAATCCAGTATTAACATTATCTCCCCCCTTTCTAACATTTATACACAGGTTCAAAGAGAAATGTCTGCTTTATTCAAATAGTTCTTACCCACTAGCCCTGAAAAAAGTCAGATACATTCCTACCTTCAAATTTTGATTATATATCCTTGTACTTTTTCTGATCACCTTAAATCAGTTTCTTTTCCCCAAACTTTTCTAGTAGTAAGAATCAAAGGGGATATGGGATGGGGAAGATAGTGGGATATTAACAGAGCTTCAAAATTCCTTCTCTGAGTTAAGGTTGGTGTGGGAATTTCTATTTTTAACAAATAATCAAGGTAATTCTTAACATCATCAATAAGGCTTCTTTGAATGTCCTCATGAACTATGAACTCTCCCTTGCCTTAATTCCTACAATAATTTTTATTTGCCTAGCTTTTAGGGAATGTAACTTTATATTGCAGGATAAATTCAAAAAAGGATTTAAGATGGATGTATTTTCCTGTTGATTTCTAAAATTAAATGATCTTTTAATATGATTAAAATGTGTCCAGAGGAATCTTCAAACACAGGACAATTTGTAGGAGTTGAAAAAAAAACAGAGTAAAAGATTTTTTTGCCACACACAGAAATAACTTTATATAATAATCTGATTTAATTTGCTAACTTTCCTCCTGATATTGACTTAAAATCATTTATTTCATTGAAGGACCTACCTTGTTTTTTTTACAGTGATGTTGCTGCTGAGTTTTTCTAGCCGACATTCTCCAGTATCATGATTAATAATCAAAATGCATTCTTTTAAATAAGGTCTCTTTGAGCCTTTGAAAACAGTTACTGGTGGAGTTGAACCCTGTTTAAAAAGTTAATTATCATTATCATAGAAATTCAGTTGGGATTGGCTTTGAATTCTTCTGGTACTGTATTTCTCAATTAATAGTATATTCCTAAGTCACTTATAAACTATGTAAGTTTAGTACCAAAGGAGTATGTTTTAACAGTAAAAAGAGAGATTGGTTTTTAAAAAAAAGAAAAAAACAGACTGGGATTTCCATGCAGCTATCACTGCATAAAGGGAAAAGAGGAAGCAACTATCCTGAACCAATAATGTAAGATTTGTGGTGGTGGTCTATAACGTGCAATTGGGATTCTATCATATTTCCTTACTTCCTCCTTCTTCCTGTTTTTAAAATTTATTTTTTCAGCTGGCCTAGGTGGCTCACAACTGTAATCCTAGCTACTCAGGAGGCTGAGATCTGAGGATCGAGATTCAAAGCCAGCCTGGGCAAGAAAATCCCTGAGACTCTTATCTCCAATAAACCACTAGAAAATTGGAAATGGCACTGTGGCTCAAATGGTAGAGTGCTAGCCTTGGGCTAAAGAGCTCAGGGATAGTGCCCAGGCCGAGTTCAAGCCCATGACTGACACAAAAAAATTATTTATTCATTCATTTTTCCTGGTACTAAGGATTGAATTCAGGGCCTTAAGGTTGCTCAGTGTGGCTACCTCTTGAGCCACACTTTCTCCCAGCCCTGTTTTTTGCTGGTTATTTCAGATGAAGTCTTTTTTATTTCAAAGATGAAGACCATTTCTTCGTGGGCTGGTTTTGAACTGGTATCTGTTGGATCTCAACCTCCTGACTAGCAAGAATTACTAGACATAAGCTGACAGTACTTGGTAAATTTCATTATTAAACTTTAACATGTTCTTTTTTTTTTGGGGGGGGGTCAGGTCCTGAGGCCTGAACTCTGGGCCTGAGTGCTGTCTCTCAGCAATTCAGCTCAAGGCTAGCACTCTACCACTTGAGCCACAGCACCACTTCCGGCTTTTTTCTTTTCACTTATGTGGTGCTGAGGAATCGAACCCAGGGCCTCAGGCATGCAAGGCAAGCGCTCTACCACTGAGCCAACTTCCCAGCCCCTTAACATGTTCTTAAAGTGGGTTCTCTCTATGCAGATTAAGGGGAAAAATCCCTAGCAAGGAACACCTGGTACACCAAACCCCTGATTAATTTTAGTATCACTAAATATAAGCATATCACATAAATATAAGCATACAATATAAATATAAGCATACAATATAAATATATTCTTATATAATATAAATTCTTATATAAATATATTCTTATATATTTATATTGTATGTTTATATTTATATTGTATGCTTATATATACATATATATTTATATTACATATAAATATATATTTAAATACAATATAAAATATATTTATATACAAAATATATATTTATATTGTATGCTTATATTTATGTGATAACTATAAAATATAAATATATTGTATGCTTTATGATACGACATAAGAGATAGTACACCGGATTGCCCATACATTACTCCTGCCAACAAACAAAAACTTGAAAGAACAGAATTTTTAGCTGGGTCCTGGTGGCTCACACTTGTAATCCTAGTTACTTAGGAGGCTGAGATCTGAGGATTGAAAGTCTATGAGACTATGATCTCCAATTAACTACCAAAAGCCAGAAATGGAGCTAAGCTGTAGCTCAAAGTGTTAGAGCACTAGCCTTGAGCACAGAAGCTCAAGGACAGCATGGAGGCCCTGAGTTCAAGCCCCAGGACTGAAAAAAAGAAAAAGAAAAATGAAGAGGATTCTTATTAAACCCCAAAGAATAATTACCATTTATAGGAATTATGGGTACTACAGAAAACAGTTAAATAGTACAGCAATTCTAACCCAGGCTCTCCAATAAGCCAATGAAATAAAAGGAGGAAGAGACTTTTATGGAATAAGAGGTAAGAAATACAATATCAAAAAAATTTTAGGAATATTATTTGGATTCTAGTTAAGATATTTTAGCAACAAATGTCTATGAAAAGACATTATAAAATCTAAATATAGATCATCAAGTATTATTACTAATTCTCTTAGGTTTGATAATGTGGTACTTAAGAAAAATCAAAATATCCTTCTCAGATATGCATAAACGTTTATATAAGAAACCACATAATATCTGGATTGTCTTTGAAATATGCTAAGGGGGCAGTGATAAGGGTAAAGTTAGTGAGTGAAGAGGCACATAGAAGTTCATTGCACTAAGCTGGGCACCAGTGGCTCACGCCTGTAATCCTAGCTACTCAGGAGGCTGAGGTCTGAGGATCTTCGTTTAAAGCCAGCCCCGGCAGGAAAGTCTGTTAGACTCTTATCTCCAATAAACCACTATAAAACAGGAAGTGGCACTGTGGCTAAAATGGTAGAGTGCTTGCCTTGAACTGAAGAGCGCAGGGACAGCGCCCAAGCCCAGAGTTCAAGCCCCACGACAACAAAAAAAAAAAAAAGAAAGAAAGAAAAGAAAAGAAAAAAAGAAGTTCATTGCACGAGTCTGTCTTTTATGAAGCAAGGTTAAACCTAGACCATTTCTAGTACCTACATGTACCTATGAGTTCCTCCCCTAACTTTTGTCACTGCCACCCCTACCCAAACCTGAAGAATTTTAACTTTATTATTCTTTTGCTTTATCTCACCTATATCTAATCCCAAATAATATATTATGTTTGCTTATTTTTGAACTTTTTTAAGTGTGTTAAAATTTTAAAGCACCAGCTATAATAATTTTTATCAAATACAATACAGTAATATTATTCAATCAGGTTAGACTTGTTGACTTTAAAAAGACTTAAAAGTATATCATATTAAATAAGTTAGCACATTAAATTAGACATTTACTGAATGGTCAGTAGAAGAAGCATAAGACAAATTTCATGACTAAGAATGCCATAAAAGGGCAGTAGAGGCTAGGGACTTGTGAAAGATCTGAAGAGGAAGTGATGCAAGGGCAAGAGTCGGAAGTGAATTTTCTAGGTGCATAGCACACAGATGAAGACATCTGTGGTCTGGTTCTAGATGGATCAGATATGGAGCACTTAGCAGAAATCCTGGTTAACCAGAGAGCCAGGACCATGATCATGACAAAAGAAACTGGATCTCCTTGGCTGGCAAGTTTATTTTTCAGATTTCCTGGCCAAAAGAAAGTTAGTAAATGACCCCAAAATAGCTACTTAAGGACTCAAAATTGCATTTGATAAGAGATTTATGCAATGTATTTTTTGTAAAGATTTTTTTAAATGATTGCTTGGAATGGGATACATTTTTAAATTACAATGTATTATTTTACAATGTATTATTGAAGAACAAGAACTGATCATTATTTAAAAAAAAAATAACGCCCAGTACTTACCAAGACTTTTTTTCAAATACATAATGAATGCTGAATACAAACAACATGAGCTATTCTGATCACAAGTCCCAAGTTTACATAATCTCTATACTTGCCTTCTACAGTCTAAATGAGTTTTATAAATTTAAACTTGGTTCTTTATTAAACTGAGCACTATTTCTACCTTTAAACTTTCATTTCTATAGTATGAAAGTACTATATCCCCTTATAGTAAGAAAGTACAATATAGTAATATAGTAATGTGGTATATAGTATATAGTAATAAATATATACACTGTCCTTGTTTTTAAGCAATTATTGGAAACATCAAATCATGCCTATATTCACTGCTGTAAATCTAACTTCAGAACCCTAGATTACCAACATCATCCTCTCTTCTCTCTTCCCAATACTGCTGTCCATTATGGTGACAAGAAAATGTGGTCATACTGTTTCCATAATTAAAATTCCTTATGCATTTAAAATAATTTATGTGCTCAGGATAAAAGCTATAGTCCATAAATCTGTACATGGGTCCTTCACAATCTTCTCACCTCCTCTCTAATGTTCTTAACTTGCCATCCACTCTTCCTAAACCACATACAACTATGTATGGTTGGTTCATAGTGCTATCATTGGATGTGGAACATTCATCAAAGGCCCATGTTTTAAAGGTTCCTTTTCCATCATTTTATTGGAAGATAAAATAAGTGGGACCTAGTAGGTCTTTAGTAATTGGGAGTGAGCCTTTTAAGAGGGCATTGGGGAGCTGAGTATCAGTGGCTCAGGTCTGCAATCTTTTCTCTAAGCCATACTCTCTGCAATCACTTTGTAATTACCTTGCAATCTGGGAAGGGTTGCACTGATTGATAATCTCTTTTATGACAAAGGACTGAAAATACCCTCAAGGACAAATAGAGCCTCCTCACTGTGAGATACCAAGAGATGAGAACTGGTTTATCCTGACTAGTGATGATAGTGATAACAAAACTGATTGGTGGAATTCTTTGGAGTTAGTGATAACAAAACTGATTGGTGGAATTCTTTGGAGTTTAGGCCTGGGTTTCATTCTCGTTATACACAAACTCTAACCATAATGAGAGCATATGACCAGAGGCATACAAACAATTGATGATGGACTAACATGGACCAACAGCATGACAATGGGCTATGATCTCTGAAACTATGACCTAAATAACCTTCTTCTCTTTATAAACTTGATTTATCTAGAAGTGGTACTAGAAGTGGGTCACTGCTATGACTACATCTGACAATGTAGAAAAACTTTTGGAAACGATTTATTGAGGGAGTTCAGAAACGTTTAGGTGAAGCTTAATGGTTGACTCTTCTGGGCCTCAAAAGATCAAAATAGTGACAGGAATATGGACCGTAAATGCATTACTGCTCAGTTTTCAGATGGAAATAAGTAATAATTCTTACTGGGAATTAGACTAAAGTCTAACCATATTACAATGCAACAGAGAACTTGGCTGCATTTGTCCATGTCCTGAGAATTTTTGTGAGGCTGAGCTTAAAGGTGATAGATGAGTTTATCTGGTGGAGAAAGCTTCAAAGCAGTCAAGTATATAGGTTATGATAGCATAGCTATTACTGGCCACTTTTAATCAAAATTAAAATGAGAATCAATAGCAAAAAGGAACAGAG